TTCCGATCAACAAATCGACCAAGGCTGTTTTTACTTTAAATAGTTTGTATACACACTGCCACGCTAGCCCAGTCAACCACAACTATTAACCGCATCGAAATAACCGTTAATTTTGAACTCTTAAGTATAGTGTTTTTTTATTCGTTAGCGATTCGTATAGTCATATTTAAGGCCGTCAGCGCAAAAGTGGCCTAACCCATAAATTTTCATATTCGTGCTTATATATTGCAATTTATTAAAAACATAATTAATAAACGTTGATACTAAACCAGCGTATCCTTAGTTTCACCCATGGTTTACAGATGTTACAGTTTTAAGCGGTAAGCAGCGGCTTGGCTCTGCCCCTGGCATTGCTGAAGTCCATGGGCGACGGTAACCACTCACCATCAGGTGGGCCGTATGCGCGTCTGCCTACAAGGGCAACAAAAAAAAAAAAGATGGCTTCGTAAATATTTTCGCGCGTATTCTTTTTGCCTATGAAGCAGTGTAAAAAAAATTAAAACCTAATTATCTCTGTACTAAGTATAGTAAGCTTAGGCCACTTTTGCGCTGACTGACTCAATAATAAAACTACTTTTACGGATGACTGGCCCTGGATCACGAAAACTGTAAAGACAAGTATTCGAAGCATCAACAATAATATAATGACACTTAAAAACAAAAACACTTTTAAATGCGATATTAAACTGTAACAGTAGTTCTAATAATTATTATTATAATCAGTACTCTAGTTATTACTGGATTTTTTTATTATTTTTTTATTGCTTAGATGGGTGAACGAGCTCACAGCCCACCTGGTGTGGTTAGTAGAGCCCATAGACATCTACAACGTAAATGCGTCACCCACCTTGAAATATAAATTCTAAGGTCTCAGTATAGTTACAACGGCTGCCCCACCCTTCAAACCGAAACGCATTACTGCTTCACGGCAGAAATAGGCAGGGTGGTGATAGCTACCCGTGCGGACTCATAAGAGGTCCTACCACCAGTAATTACGCAAATTATAATTTTGCGGGTTTGATTTATGGTATATGAGTCGTCTATTATCAAAGGCGGCAATCTGTACATTTGGACAAAAAAATTTTATTGATATGTCAATACAGATTTATTTGAATATAATCGTCTCCTTCAAAGAATACGGTTCAAAACCTGCATTAAATAAAGGTTAATAGTTAACCTGTTATTTATCTAAGATGTCGTTCCGAAGAGTTTTGTGACTGCTAATGGAATACAAAGTCAATAATTCGTTTTTCTGATTTACCAATCATTGTCCAAAAGTCAGATTGCCGCCTTTGATAATAGTTGACTCATATGTTATTCTTTCACCGTGGAAGTCAATTGTGAACATTTGTTAAGTACGTATTTCACAAGAAAAATTGGCACCTGCCTGCGGGATTCGAACACCGTTGTATCGCTAGATACGAATGCATCGGACGTCTTATCCTTTAGGCCACGACGACTTGAATGAGTATTAAAGTATTAACTCGCTGCATCAAGGTAACACTTGCACCTTTTTAATAGAAGACTCAACAATTATTCAACATACATTTTTGAGATAAATTTTCATTCATTTATTTCATGAGTGGGTCGGCTGTTTGCGGGAAAATGTTAATGGGTGATATAGGTACACACAACTAAAGTGTAGTCAATTGTGCACATCTAAATATTTTTTACTGTCGCGACAATAATCTGATAAGTATTATAGCTGACAGTTTGAATTAATACGACTGAGCCAAACGTTTCAGGGTTAGAATATAATCAGGTAATAAGTTCACTAGTTGAATTGCAACAAGGTAAATGGGGCTTGCGTATTATACTATCAGTCACACGTAATGTAGTAATTATCTGATACACAATTACTAATTTCAATGTTTTCGAATTAGAATCGAAAGGAATCCAAATTCTAGTGAGATTTAAATAGATTTCCAATTACAACGGTTTTGAAGTTACATTGACGTAAACATAAAAGAAACACAATAAAAACAAAATTTTTGACCTCAATTTTACGATTTGATCAAGAATTATAGGCAATACTTTGACACCCGTGCCCGTTTAAGAAAAAGCTAACTTTCAGCCTGACCTTACTTATCTTATTTTCGATTAAGAAATCCACATGATGTAGCACAACTTTTCATTTATGATATACAAACCTGCCAATCACATCTTAAAGGACTTAATTTAAACCTTACACCAAAACTTGAATATACTCCTAGCTCTATTGATACTCGATAGTAACCTCTTTGCATAATATAAGGCGAATCATATTGTGTATTCATGGTTAGAACCAATGATGTTATAGTAAAAAGAGGTAGATACGTTATATTAGTACTAATACGAAGTCAAGCTTGTCCGCGGCGTATGTACCTATATATATTTATAAACACACTAAGCTATACGATATTATGCGGACGAATTAAATCGACAAGTAGTTGATGATAATATCATATAGCCGCGTGAGCAGAGTTAACTTGACAAGGTTGTAATGTGTGAAAAAGATAGCATGCTAACTAGCAAGACCGTAAACAAGACGGATATAATTATATTACGCAGTGTCGTTGCGATGTCACGACTTACTTCATAGATTAACAATTAAAATGTCACAGAACGAACATAAAATTGTTTGATGCCTACGGTTTAGTAAGCAGAATTGATATATTTAAAATGAACTCCTGACTATTCTTTTAAGAAATAAAACAGCAAAGGACAAATAATTTTATTTTTTTATTTTCATTTAGTTCATTATTATTTGGCCGCCAATCCTCTTCATGTCTTTGTCTACGTACAATATTTATCCATTGGTTACACCTTAATTCATTTGCCGGAAACCTTTAAAAATAAAATCAAAGTTAATTCATTTCTCGGTTGTTGTGAGCTAATGTGTAGGCAATATCATGTAAATGTCCTTTCTGTTACATTACTCTTTTTAATCTTGACAGACATCTCTCTTACACTTGGTGACCGGAGTATATGCCGTCGCACTCGAGCCTTTTTTAATAAATTTAAGCTAATATTTTGGATTTCTTAAACAATATAAAAGCAAATCAATTTAAAATTAATACTTACGCATGACATGTCATCCCTAGACTTTTGGGAGGCTTACTTGTATAGTTTCTACAGTGTCGCATAACACAGGACGTCATTTTAAAGAAATTTCGCGGAACAAAAAACACAGTCAACGTTACCAATGCTTTCACGAGACTAAGCTTGAGTGCGCTAATTAGCTCAGTTTTACGGCGCCACTTTACAAACTCAAGTAACTTATCTACCTCTTTTTACTATAACATCATTGGTTAGAACATTTAGTCAAAAATTAGACTATAATAAGTCTAGTCTGAGGAAATCCGTAGTCTAGACGCGTGTGGGTGGGATGTAGTGATTTGACCAAACTGATTGAATTAGCGAAAGGATGTCGCCTTGATACCGAGGTCGTGATGGGTCAGGTACAGGCGGCACCATTAAAACGGCAGCTGCCTTCATTAATACACGTTCATTGGAATAATCATGATTCACCAGAGAGAAATTCATAAGATACGAATGCGCAGTGTTGGACTTTCCCAACTTCTTTTCAATCACGTCTCTAATTATGAATCCTATCCCATTATTCGTCCAATTTTATTTTTATTCACCTCGTAAAGTAAACTATTTGTAATGAACGCGCAAACAGGTGAATAAATCAATACAGGTGAAATAGTTAGTCCTTATCACAGAAGGTACGTGCCATTATCAAACGCGTGGAGTTTATCAAATACTTGATATAAGGGGAAAGCATGATCGATGTTTGCTGAACTAATTTATAGTTCGCTGTAACTTTGTTTTTAGGGCATCTTGATAAAAAAAAACTCGAATAACATTAAATTCATTTAAGATCTGCTATAAACGAATGGAATGTTGTTACAAATAGACGTGATTTTACATATTTTTCTGATTTTACTGATTATTACATTACCGTGCACGACGTTACAATATAAAACAATTATTGATACTTACCACAGCGATCAATTTCCCTCGTACTGTAATTCCAATCATAGGAGCAAATCTTACTTCTACTCCCGGTTCTATAACCAGCTCTGCGTCTCTCTCCAGCAGTAGATCATCCCGAAGTAGATATGGACTGTTATCTGGTTTCCAAACAGTGCGTCCCCCGGCTAACACACCGCCCGGCAGTTCCGTTAAACCAGTTGATTTGTTTACGAGGTAAGGATCTGTCGCACTCAACTCTTGTCCTTTACATTCAATAAAGCAACATAATATCACTATCACAGTCCTCCATTTATATTTAGTGTCGCTAAATTGACTGTGCTTTTTCTGAACACTCGTTTCTTTGGAACACTTCATTTTCACTAACTGAACACAAAACTATTCATTATTGAAATACGAAAGTATTTCACCTGCCCGTAATCTCTCGCAAGTTTCCTAGTAGTGTTTTATCGTCATAAACAATACATACAGTCCATTTTATAATCAATTAAATAACAAATTAAGGAAAATGCTTTTTGTTTTGGATGAAAACATTTTATTTCGGGCAAAGGTGGGGCCGGTGAGGAAGAAAAGAAACGAAAATGCGCGCTGCCGCACGACCGTTGGATAAAGCCGTTTGGCCGGTTTCGTTCGAGTTCCTCCTCCCTTCCCTTCCCTCCCGCGTCACTCATTCGAGCAAAGCCTCCTCCCCTCCATAGCGGAATATATCTACGTATGTATATCGTGATATATGTAATATAATACCTATACATCAACCTATTCTGTGGAATCTTATTTCATTCGTTCATTGACGACAAAATACTTTTTCTGAAAAAAAATTTAGAATAACAATTATTGATTAATATATAATTCAGTAGAACTTAATTCTATTATTATGAATAGCTTTTAAGACTTATTTATAAACCAACAAAATAATAGGCTGTGTAAAAGTGGTGTAGTTTTTGTTAGTCATAAGTAGTAGCGTTCTAATGGGCTTGGCAACACTGTTCTGCGAGACCATTCGTTCATTACACTCCGGTACTCTGTGTTCAACTCGTTCACTCGAAAATAGTCTCCATCGGTTCAGTAATCGTCTCTTTAATTTTTATTCATAAATGTGTTTAAAATAAGTCAAAATCGTTAATTTTTATTCACATAAATAAATTTTAGTTGTATCTTCATAAATAATGTAAGTTGAATAAAAAATATAGTTTATTTCACGTTAATTTAATGTCTGTTGGCGTGGCGTGGCATAGGCGGTGGCGACATTTTGTTTTCTTCATTGTATTTATGTATTTATACCTCTTTATCAATTAATACGTCGCAGTTACCACGTTTCATTTAAAGTTAATTCATTATTTTCATATTTAAACATTCGATTCTTTTTTTAGACTAAACCATGAGTTCGGGTGGTACTCGCGTGTACGTCGGCGGTCTCGTCGAGGGAATCAAGAAGGAAGATCTCGAACGCGAGTTCGATAAATATGGAAAACTAAACTCAGTTTGGGTAGCACTAAATCCCCCAGGTTTCGCTTTCATAGAATTTGAGAACTTGCAGGAGGCGGAAGATGCGTGTAGCGCGATGAATGGTACTGAGATGTTAGGCGCCACTTTGAAAGTAGAGATCTCTAGAAAGCGGGACGGGCCCCGCAGAGGTGGGTTCAGAGGTCGGGGCGGCGGTAACTTCAGGGGTGGTCGTTCATTCGGAGGTCAGGGAGGAGGCAGGTTTAACAACTCATACGGTGGCGGCGGCGGCCGGCCGTACAATCGTAACGGAGACGGATATGGCTCCAGCGGCGGCGGTGGTGGTGGCGGCGGTAGCGGCAACTACAGATCTAGGTCGCCGCTGTCCCGTTATTAATTTAGTTGCTAGGTTAAATAGGTTTAGTGTTATCGTAATCTGAAGCCTTCCAAGTGTTAAAATTCAATGAATACTGGGGGTTTATTGCTAGGCATTTCGATGGCTCAAGGAAGTGGAGGTAAATATATTTAAAATTTCTTGTTATAATTATGGTGATGATTGATTACACGCTTAGTCTTGCTGATTAGACAAACGTGCTGTATGGATTATGTAGAATCAAAAAAACTTTAAAGGCAAGTGTCATAAACGTACATGTATATTTTTTAAAGAATAATTACTCTTGTGGTAGCTCTAGCTTTGATATTTCTTATATTATAAAAATGATTTAATTTGAACCATAATAACCATTAACTGCAAGGACCTTAATCACACAAGATAAAAAAAAGTATTTAGTGCTCTTTAAAGTAAATGACCTCTTATCATATTCTCCATTACAAGTTATTGTTTGACTTTAATCATTGTTCCTCAGCACGAAGACAGTCATATTTTTTATATGTTAATAATTTTAAATTTTTTTCTGGAGAAACTCATAATGTAACAAGAAGAAATATGACATGATCAATTTGATTTTACTTTGCTACAAACTAGCAAGTGTAATATCAACTATAACCTATAACATCATTTAAATTGACTCTCAATTTTATAAAGTTTGCTTGACTGGTACAAAAGTTATCTTGTTTTCTGTGTAATTTTATTGAAATAAGCTGCAACTAATAAAATTCCATTGCCCTGAGACCAAATTGAAGTCTGTTCAGACATTAAAACAAGTAAACATCTTACAGTATTTTAACAGCACTCTGTTATATTTCATCTAAAGATATTTTTAAAATTTCAGTTCCTTGGACTCGGTGATCTCGCTTCAAAATCATCGGAATATATTTCAAGAACAATCTTCAGAAATTAATTAACATTCTACCTAGTACTCTAATGGATAAGTTTCTTCATAAATAAAAATTATGACTTATTTCTCTCATGTTTTATTTAAGGTCCAATGAAACAGAATCATTGCTTATTACCACAGTACAAAAGTTTAAAGGGAAGATTTTACAAAATTTTAAATTGGTTTTACATTAAAGTTATTTAGATTCAATATTTATTCTGTTTCCATAATAATACTCTAACCAATTACTTAATCTAACTTATCTTTACATTAAATAAAAGATTTTTAAATATTTTCATAATTTCTTATTGACAACAACTTTATTCACAATAACGAATTTGAATTTTGAATTTACGAAGGACTGCTCAAACAGGCCATAAGCAACTCCATTTTGTTTAAAAAGTTCTTTCCCTCCATTTTGTCTAATTTTATTTCTTTAAAGGCACCTCCAAGATTCTCCCACTTCTTGTCTTGCACTAGTTCACTCGAGAAAAAGTCTTTTCTTGGTGATTGAGCAATAAACACTTGAATTCCCACAGAAGGCTCGCATCTTATTGCTATCATTCTGTCTCCTAAAAAAAAAAGCAAAATGCATTGTTTGTTAAAACGTAGAATTTTATACTACGAATACATACATTTGTTAAAAATCTTAACTTTCTGTAATAGAACAAAGCTGAAATTTGAAGTTATAATAAAATATAATTAGTTCGACGATAATTAAAAAAACATTACCCGGACCCAAATTTGGGGTGCCTCTACGAAGCCGATCAATATAATAGTTACATTGGCCTTGAAACACACGTGTTATTTAAGCACATAGTCTACCCGGCTACATAACCTAACTATGCTTGTTAATAAAGCAGTTTTGTCAACTCTTAATTTTAAATAATATTTCAGTGAAGTGAACTAAGCGCAGGGTTTCTTCTTTTATGTTTAGTGTAGGTATAATTAATTACATTTTTAGGTTATTTATCTTAGTGCCTATAGCGTGTTTAGTTACATTTACCAAATTAACTTCCAAAGTATTAATTAATAATACCGGAATGAATCATTTTTAAAATTGAAATGTTTAATTTTAAATATAATAGTAAATAAAAATATAAATTTAGCGTGATAAAAATAATATACATTATAATGTATTTATAATGAAAAAAAAAAAAAACGTTTATAGAATACTAATATCTTTACACAACCCAGTAATTTTCTGAAAACAGGACCACTGCTACAGATGAAAGTAGCATATGAATGGCTTTTGGGGGGAATATGAAGAATATATTGCCTTTAGAATTATTTTATTCTCGCAAATAAGTATGTATAAGTATTGTTTAACCAAACCAAAGCGTTATTTATTACAGTGATATTTAGTATTTGAGATGCTGCAAGGTTGAGTAACCGATGACCGATTATTTTGAATTTTCTAACGTTTGCATATTTTTGTTTAATGCTTAGACGTGTGGACGAGCGCACGGCCCCAGTGGTGTTAAGTGACTACCGAAGCCATAGTCAACAGCGTAAATGCCGCCACCCTCCTTGAGACATACATTTTAAATTTCAAACCTAAGGATCAGTAGTACAATGGCTGCTCCGGAAAGCGTTCCGGTTTGGAGGCAAGCTGCTTCGCGCAAGAAATTGGCAGGATGGTGGTCCCAACCCGTGCGAACTCACAAGACTACCTATCACCATTTAAAGTGCACTATGTGTAATGCAAATTGTGCCAAATTTCGGATACTTTGTGCCTGTGAAATCCTACGATCGACTGATCATATATTTTTTCAACAAATATCTATGGATCTGAAATGTAGCGAACATTGTAAGACGTACACGAAGAAGGAACAACCTAATCTAACTCAAGTTCTTATTAATTTGCGTAAATTTATATTTAGAAATTGACGTAAAGCTATTAAATAACATGGTAAATCCAATCTTGCCTCAAGATAGTGCCATATACGTCGTGATGTCTATGAGCTCATACTATAATAATATGAGATCAATTGAAACACGAACTTCGTGTGTCCAACTACAGCCATACATTTTTTCTATTGTAATTTTAATAATTTCATGTCATTATTTCATATGCTTTATCACTTTAGATATTTAATCTCAACTAATATTGTAAAATAAATGTATAAATTTGGAAGTTTGTATGGTTTAATGAATTTGAATAAAATTTCGCACACAGACAGACAGTTTGAAATCTGAAGTGAGTTATTCACAGGATACTTTTTATAATGATAGACGTGTCGACTCTGGCAATGCCGGGTATATAAAACGATGAAAGTCTATTCGCTTTTTTTCCTACCTAAGTTCGATTGCGTTGAGAGGCTATTTTAGCGTAACCTTAATAACTAGTAGGTGAGCTCACGGGGCTCAAACCTGAGACGATACTAACACGAACCCTAGCAAGAGCCGTGCTTCACAGAATCTACCACCGGATCGGAAACGCGACCCACTGAGGAGATCCGGCGAGAAACTAAGTGGGCTGTGTCTGAGGGTTAATTTACTACTCCGAATGATGACCGGTTTTCGACTACTGCGGGGCCACTTCTTCTCAGTCGTTCACTCCTGGCGGAGTGGTCGTGGTTACGTAAGTCTTAATATTTGGTTGCGGCTTTTGAGAGGCTTCTCCATCTCTCTCTATTTGTGGCGGTACGTGTACACTCAGTAAGGGAACACTTCGTAGAAAACTTAACCAAGTCTGTCCACCTTGTGGGTGATCGGCCGCGAGAGCGTTGACCGTCTACTCTTCCTTGAACCACTAAACGTTCCAATGATCTTTCATTACGAATGATATGTCCAAACATATTAAGGATTCGCAATTGCACAATCGACGAAAGCCTTTGTTTGATTTGCCGGGCCACTGCCACTGCGGGGCCACTAGTACTAGTTATATTCTGGTTACCATTGGGCGAGGCGAGTAGACAGGAGGAGGCGTTCCCGAGTGGCTCCACGGGCCCCGAGCCCAGGTGCGCGCTGCTGGCGAGGAGTTGCCAGCCCATGCAGCGCCCCACCGCCTGCACCGCCGTCATCTGGTGCTGGTATATCTACACCAAAACAAACATCAATATAGCCAATAATATCAACTTGTCATCGTCGTGGCCTAAAGGATAAGACGTCCGGTGCATTTCTTGTCGAGCGATGCACTGGTGTTCGAATCCCGCAGGCAGGTGCCAATTTTTCTAATGAAATACGTACTCAACAAATGTTCAAGATTGACTTCCGCGGTGAAGGAATAACATCGTGTAATAAAAATCAAACCCGCAAAATTATAATTTGCGTAATTACTGGTGGTAGGACCTCTTGTGAGTCCGCACGGGTAGGTACCACCGCCCTCCCTATTGCTGCCGTGAAGCAGTAATGCGTTTCGGTCTGAAGGGCGGGGCAGCCGTTGTAACTATACTGAGACCTTAGAACTTATAAAAAAATGGGGCGTTGTGTAGAGGCTTTGAAGGCGATTTGTAATTTCATCTAGGAAGACTTAGACACCAACTGAGCTCTCGCTATAGTGGTTTTTAAGCAGGTAAAAAATTGGGTCGCTAAAGAATAATTTATTTTCAAAGTGGGCAGTAGACAAAATAAGTTTGGGAACCCCTGATCTAAATGAATGCGGTAATGTTAAGGACATAATGAATAGTACCTGACAGTAGATGAGGTCTCTGAGCTCCTGCAGCTCGTAAGACAGATGCCGCACCTTCCCGTCCCTGCAGATGCATTTCAAGGTCTTCTCCCCGACGTGGACCACCAGCGACGTCCTACACACCGCGTCGTACCTGTCCCACAACCAACTTAACTAGATACAAACTTTTTGGAGACTATAAAAAATACCGGCTAAAATATTGGCAGTAACAAGTTAGTTACTGGTGACAGGACGTCTTGTGAGTCTGCGCGGGTAGGTACCACCTTCCTGCCTATTTCTGCCGTGAAGCAGTAATGCGTTTCGGTTTGAAGAGTGGGGCAGCCGTTGTACTGTAAAAACTGAGACATTACAACTCATCTCTCGAAGTGGGTGGCGGCATTTACGTTGTAGATGTCTATGGGCTCCGGTAACCGTTTAACACCAGATAGGCTGTGAACTCGTCCGACTATTTAAGAAAAAAAGCCTTGCAAAGTAATTCAGAGATTTCCATATCATTTTTAAGGGATGCATGTCTGTTATATGAGTTAGGTGTTAGGGGACCGATATGGGGGGTATGGGAGGGGGATGGAGGTGACTTACCCGTGTGCCATGATGTTTATCTTGACGCAGGACTGCGTGGGACTGTTGAGCGCGTTCCAGTGCGACACTATCAACGGATCCTTCACCTGGGACACATCGAAATCAAACATTTATAGACATATACAATATAGACCAGCGGTCGGGAAACTTTTTTAATTATTACCCCAAAATATTTTTCTGTAAGTTGATATTACCCCATGGCGAAGAACAAAAAAAAACGAAATCGATTCTTTTTAGCATCTTTCATATTATAGCCCCCATGATAATTTCGAAAAGAAAACAATAACTAAAAATTTTACGATTCTAAAGAAGTTTCACTTCAATATATACTTTTTACTCACAAAAGTTTCATTTTTAGTCCCCAAAATTTCATTTTACCCCATTTGAGGCAAAATTGCCTAAATAAATACCCCGGTTCCCCGACCGCTGATATAGACTATGCGTCCTTTGGATGATCAAAATTCGATCATAAACCTCAAATTATAGATATTCATTTTCCGTATCACATTTTCTCTTTTGTTTAATTTATTACCATTTTGACTTACAAAAGCTTTTTTTTTAAAGTATTCTATCAATAATTATATTGTCTATGAGCACAGATAACTTCATGATACAATGAGGACTCGTTTATTATTCTACACGATTAATCTACTAATATTAAATTTAAAACAATTTATTCGTCTTTTAAATTAAAAACAATTTTGAAAATTTGAAAACATTAAAAAATCTATCGAGGGCTGAAAGGTAATTAATTAATTTGGTTTAAGCGACATTTATCTTTGTAATTAAAGGTGCGTTTTATTTGGTATTAGCATCGATGGTACGATGTTTTTAATTGAACTCCAATTAAGTTTACTCCATTCAAATAATTGA